CACTCCTATGCCTGTTCATTTATGTATTGTCTATGGTTGTTTTTGTGATACAAAAGCAGAGTTTAGTAGCTGTGACAGAGACTGTATGGCCTGTAAAACTTAAAATAGCTACTATTTGGCCCTTTACAGAAAAAGTTTGCAGGCTCTGAACTGTAGTCTTCCTTCTGTTGCATTGGTATGTAGTATATTTTCTTTATTCAATAGTAAATGTGTTTGCCACAGATCTGGCAAAAGTGTTTCCAGCTACTCTTTCCCTCTGCAGATGCCTGAGAGTCTGTAGGTCATGAAACTCCCATGAAGCAGCACATTGTACCACCAATGAAGCTGACAGGCTGCCCAGTGTCACAGAATGAATTGTGACTGAATCTTTTGTGGTGGTACTGTGGACCATTGAGACTAATATGAAAATTACCTTCTGAGCATTTATGCAAGATAATTTAATTTTAGAGCTCATAAACAAGATCAGAGTTATGTGGTTTAACAAAAGGTCTCCTTATGTGTATGTGTGCTTGCCAAAAACATGATGAAATCCTGGAACATGGGAAACTGAACATGCACTTTTAGATTTACATGTGGCAAACAGAATTGACTAGTGTATCTGTTCGTAAATATTACTGCTGCTATTAAGAGGCACTTGGGAAACATGGACAGTTCTATTAAATATAAAAACGATCTCCTCCTTCACTATGGGGCCCCCATTCCAATAAATACACCCACGCCGAAGTCTTTAAAAAGTCTTTTTCTTTTTAAAATTTTATGTTCCATAATAAACATACTTATCTTTCTCCCAACAACTTGCCTATTCATTTGAACTTGTCCTGGTTCCTACTAAATGCCCATTTCCAATAGGGACTCCTATCTTGAGGCTGCTCTTGCATCATGTCTTACAGAGGCTCTAAAAGCATAGTGGTGCACAAAAACAGTTTAGTATGTGCTAGTCCTGGGCTAAACATTAAATTTGATGTATTTGCCCAACTTTTCTAGGTAAGTTTAAAGTTAAAAACAATCACTTGGACTCAGGAAGGGGAACATCACACACCGGGGCCTATCATGGGGAGGGGGGAGGGGGGAAGGATTGCACTGGGAGTTATACCTGATGTAAATGACGAGTTGATGGGTGCAGCACACCAACATGGCACAAGTATACATATGTAACAAACCTGCACGTTATGCACATGTACCCTACAACTTAAAGTATAATAATAATAAATAAATTTAAAAAAAAATAAAAATAAAAAAAATAAAAAGGCAGAAAAGAAAAAAAAAAAAAAAGTTAAAAACAATCTTTTTTTTTCTTTCAACCAATTTGAAAACACTAGGTTAGGTCCTACGTACATGCCAACTGGAAAACAATCACTAGAGGAAAAAAGACTTGACTTAACATAAAGATATTGAGAGACGCATAACCACTCAACAATGAACTGATAATTAGGGACTTGTTTGTTAGCCTTGAGAACTGATAGTAAATGGGATCAGTTACCAGTTTCATTCAGCAAGGACTTATGTAGAACAGACTCTATGCAAAGCATGTTTGGCCTTGCTTTTTTATATTGGATTAGATATATTGAAACCAAAGTGCCAATAGCGGCCTGTAAGACTCAAGTAAATATATTTTATCAGTTTTAGTTCCCTAAAATAATATACAGAATGTAAGCACTTAATCACTATAAATATGATAACGTATAAAAAAAGGATGGTATCATCTTTTAAAAAATTATATTGTAGAAAACCTCACTTATAATTAAACGCAGCAGATCAAAATAAGGTATTTTTTTTCGCTTACAGATTGGAAAAGATAAAAAAGAGCTCAATAATATGCCATGTGTTGGGTGTGAGGGGAAGTGACTGCTCGCAGACACCGTTGATGGAGGTTCAAATTTGGGGCAATTTGGCAGTATATACGTACATGTATTTCTTTGACTCAGCAGTTCTATTTCTAGGAGTTTGTTATATGGATATACTCACACATGTACAAAGATATATTTACAAGACTGTTCATTGCAGCATTGTTATAACAATAAAAACCTGTTATAACAACAAAGTCTATAATGTATCTGTTGTGGATTAAATTATGTGTACTTTAGAATGTGACTGTATTTGGAGGTAAGGCCTTTTAAGAGGCATTTAGGCTTAAATGAGGTCATAAGGATGAGGCTTTAATCCAATATGACCACTATCCTTAAAAGAAAGAGGAAGAGACAGCAGAAGCTACTTTGCCATTCAATATTCTAAAAAATTTGAACATGAATATTCACAGCAGTCTTTATTTTACTGCTTAGATTCTCACAAAAGAAAGAAAACCAAGTCCTAGACAATTGAGACCTAGAAAGGAAAAACATGCCATTTTTTTCTGAAAGATCAAATTTCAGTGGAAATTATTGATTTTATAAGTATTTATTAATATTTAAACTGATAATTCCATCCATAAAATAAAATATAATATGACTTAGAAAGGAATAAAGTAATACAAAGAAGGTGTAAGGAAATGATTTAACAGAGACCCTAATTCCAGGGACCTCACCTTATACTGGTAATACTGGAGTCCAGTTAATTTTATCCTAGAGCATGACCGCCTAAGACTCTGAAATAACTTAGTGGGGAGTTTCACCTTGTGGTTGAGAGCATGACTTGTAGAATCAGACTATATTAGTTAGGGTCCTAGCTGGAATCAACAGATGCATTCAAATTATTTTAATTTATGAGAGATTTAATTCACAGACTATATATAAGGATGGAGTGAAATCACATTGGATGGTGCAGAACCTCAGAGCTAGCAACAGTATAGCTGTTACTGCCTCTGACTTGAAGTGGTGAAGGAGTGGAGAGACTGGTTCCTGGAATTTGAGGGAGAGAGTCTTGTAGAGAGTGCCATCTTGGGAAGCACAGTGGTCTTCAGTTGAGGGACATAGACAGCTTGAGGTGACTCCACAGCAGGGAAGCCCAGGGAATAAGAACCTCAGCCTCTGATCTCCTGATTGGCTCCCATTGGATGAATCAACTGGAATCCAGAAGGAAGGACACTGATACCCACGGATGCAGTTTATAGAGGTCGGCCACCTGGCACTGCAGTTAGGTGGAGAGTGAACCTGGCAAATGAAGAGGTCGGCACACTGACCCATCTGAATTTGAATCACAGCTTTACTAATTCTTAGCCATGTACCTTTGGGCAAGGTAGTCAGTCATTACACACTTATTTCCTCATATGTAAAATGGTGTTGATAATCCTATCCCAAGGGGTTGTTGTAAGGATTAAAAGAACTAATTTATATAAAGCCTTTGGTAGGAGGCTTCACTCATAGCAATAATCAATACATGCTAGCCACTTCAGTGTCATCTTTGTTGTAATCAGCTCATCAAATCCTCCAACGATCATATTTTTAACACATGCCTGCTTTGGTCTTAGTCTCAGAAGGATCTATTGACTAAGACAAAGATTCCCCTGAGGGGCTGTTTTGATCTCTTGCAGAGGGGAAGTAGCAGCTAGTGCTGTCGCTTTGCCTAGCATTGTGCCCAGTCAGCTAAATCTTGGAAGCCCTAATTTGATTCCTATTAGAGGCCTGACAATTGACAAAATGATATTACTCACCTTTTTTGTTTTTGATTTTTCATTTCCATGAATACATTATATTTTCAGAGGGTGACAATGTTAATATCTACTTGATGGTAATAATTTCTGGAAAGCACATGAGACACAGAATACCACCATGGTAGGCAAAAGCACAGTGACTTTTATACATTAGCTGCCAGGATTCTTGGCACCATTTCTGAAAAACTGTGTGGTGGACTATTTCTGGAACCTAACCATGGATAGTTCATTTTATTTTTGTTTAGAAATATGATGTTTTAAACATGACTTTGGAAAAAACATCTGTGCATCTCATCATAAGCCACAAAATGAGTAGAACATAAAATTTTGTTGAATGGGAAAGCATTAACTTCTCAACAGTGTATACAGCTTAATCTGCAATAGAAAGAAAATACGTGAGAAAAATGTCTTACAGTAACATGTCTTCATAAAATTGTGATTTCTTAGGTTGTGGTTATTTTTATCCTAAAAACCATCCACCAAAACATTAATTTTGGAACATGTAAGATGAGCCCATGAACACTGCATTTTAGCTACTTATTACAGACACTCAATTTTTCCATTATAAACAACAGGCCCTTTCTCTGTTTCTTTCAGTTTGATTCTCTCTTCTTATAATATGAAAGTGTCCCCACTGAAATTTGGTCAATGTGGCCAGCCAAATTAGGGACTCACTTTTCTATGTTTTGGGATTCCATTTATCAGTACCTTCTTACCTGTTCATCACTGTAGGAGGAACATTCAGCCCAGAGATTCTCAGCTCTCTCTCATTTGGCAACACTTTGGCCTGTCATCAGTTCCCATAAGAAATGCCAAGAACAAAGTAGTTTTACCCTGAAGAACAAACTCAATGCATTTCAGGAATAGAGCCTTTAATACGTGATTGTAAGGCATTCTGATTACCACAAGTCCTTTCTGGAATGAAATCCAGCATAGAGAAATAAACTAATACACTAGAAAAAGAATGTTAGAATTTCTTTCTGTCTGTGGGGCATTGATTTAATTATTTCCAATAGTGTTCTGTGGAGAATGTTTTTCTGTTTCCAGGATAATTAAAAATTACCACTGAAATTTTGCCATCTTCACATCGATTTAGGTAACGAAACAGCTATGAGATCTTCATTGGAAGCAGTGTTTACAACCTTTCCTTAATTTTTTAAAATTTAAAAATTTTTGTAGATTCAAGGGTTACATGTGCGGTTTGTTACATGGATATATGATATGATGGTGAGGTGTGGGCTCCTAGTGTACCTGTCACCCAAATAGTGAACATTGTACCCAATTGGTAACTTTTTAACCCTTTCCCCCTTCCTACCCCACGCCCCACTTTGGAGTCCCCAGTGTCTATTATTTCCCCCTGTACGTCCATCAACTTTCCTTTTTTGATGATATATTTGGTGCCTCTGCCACTCAGCAGCTGTGATCAACTGGGTCATGATGGAATGGCTTTCTGCCATGAATATTCAGGGAGACTTCGCCTGTGCCATGGAGGTTTATGATGGATGGGGGGAGCAGGAAGAGCCTGGGATCTTTAGGACCTCGAAGGGAATGGATTGATAGTCGGGTAAGTGAATTATTTTCCAGTGTCATAATAGTGAGGTTTCTTTATATTGCTTTGTGACATTTTCATTGCTCCTTGGATTCTTGATTCTGGAGGAGGAACAAAAGGGTTTTGTTTTGTTTTGTTTGTGCCAGATCTCCTTGAGTTAGACATGGCCCATTGGCAGAATGGAGGCTGCACTTGAACTGGGTTCTGAAATTGGATGGGAGCCACTCTACGTGGGTTTTAAAATCAGGTTTCTGGGTCTGTTGGTTCTTCCTCCATCTGGGTTGTCCCCCATTCAGAGCTTGGCAAGGGTAAGATTTTGTTCTATATCCCTAAGCTTCTGTGACAACAATATCCTAGGATATCTCCACCCTCCTTCGTACCTTCAAACAGTTACTACAACTGTTTGAATCTCTCTTATAGTAAGAAAATAATCCCACTGAAATTTTGATCAATCTGGCCAGCCAAATCAGAGACTTACTTTTCTATGTTTTGGGATTCCATCCATTAGCACATTGTTATCTGTTCATCACTGTAATAAGGGCAGTCAGCCCAGAGATTCTCTGCTGCTCTCAGCACCCTTGGATTAATGTAAGTCCACATCTTCCCTGCTAGGAGGAGGGCAATTGAAGAAGGAAGTATTTTAATTTTATATTAATTTTTAATTTCAGAGAGTAGTAATAATCCCATTGCCTTTATTAGAATTTTTAAGGGATACATTACCCACTTTCTTTTTTCACTTTAAACAGTAAGTAATGTCAGAATAATATAAGGAAAAATATAAAGATTAGCAATAAAAGTGTGTTTGGCTATTGCAGAATTCTTTTTCTAAAAATTCAGGGCACTTTTTATAACATAATTTCGTATAATGTCACATTTTAAATAAAATCCTATGTCAGTCCCCTCCCCTGCCCCTGCAATGCGTGCGCACACACACACACTCACACACACACTCACACACACACACACTCACACACACACAATCATCTACCAAAGGGGAAATCCACTTTGTCCTTAGAAATGGTGGTGGTTTGGTTAACTAAAAATTGAGTCTCATCCAGTGTCAGAGCACCAATGTTGTGGAAAATCAACTCCAGAACAGCATGGAGATATTTCCCAAGTTCCCTAAGTCTTTTGTTTGTTTGTAATGGAAATCTATCATAGTGACAAAAGCAATCTCCAAACTGTGAATTGATTTTGTTCCAGAAATTCACGTGAAAGCTAGTTGTCAGCGCTCAGAACTCATTTTTCCATATAAGCAATGTTATAGGGTTAGTTCTGTTCCCAGGCTGGCTCCTAAAAGCTTACTTAACACATGCGCAGTTGAACAATGCTGCTCTAAACTCACAGATTATTGGTACTTGAGGGGTTGTCAGAGATCTTCAAATTTAGTAACACTATTAAACTGTACAAAGGATCAGAGAGGTTAAGGCTGTTGCTTAGGGTTATCCAGCAAAGGCAAGACCAGATCCACATCTCCCGACTTTCAAGTCAGTGACCTTTCCACTATACTGTAATTTGTAGAACTGGGCCACTGTTTACCACCTTATATTGGTAAAAAGGTTGCTTGTGAGTAGGTATATATCACTTTAGCACTTAGAAATATTTAGAAACTTTCCCATATATTAGGCTCACAGAGTCTTCACTATAATCCTATGAAGACAGTAGAGGAGATCCTGTTCCCATTTTTAAAGGTAAAGACACTGAAGCTTCAGGAGGTTAAATCAATTGCCCACAGCCACACAATTAGTAAGTAGGGCTCCAACCCAGCTCTTCTGAGCCTGAGGACAGTGTCCACTCCGCTCCTGACCTGCAGCAGCAGTGCAGCCCTCAGGGCTTCACACAGGGTGTCCATGCAGGGAACAGCGCTGGCTGGGCAGGTGAGAGGCTGGGTCAGTCATGGAGATGGGTGGAATCTGCCAAGGGGGCTGCAGTGTTGATGGGGCTGAAGGTACAAGGAAAGGGCCTGGGAGTGAAGATCCAGGGCTCTGGTGGTTGTACCGCTTAGGGTAGTTTTCAACATCACAATGGGAGGTTGGGAGTTAGTGGTTCTCCCACTTGTTAACTAACTTAACAAGTTAAGTGAGTGGTAGGAGCTTGAAATAATGGCAAAGTGGGTGAGATGTGCATATTGCTTATATGGTCACATATGTGTATATATGTTGTACATATGTTTATGTCACTTTTCCTTAGAAACTTCCTATACAGGGCCAGGCGCTGTGGCTCACGCCTGTAATCCCAGCACTTTGGGAGGCAGAGGCGGGCGGATCACGAGGTCAGGAGATCGAGACCATCCTGGCTAACACGGTGAAACCCTGTCTCTACTAAAAATACCAAAAAATTAGCTGGGCCTGGTGGCGGTGCCTGTAGTTCAGCTACTCTGGAGGCTGAGGCAGGAGAATGGCGTGAACCCGGGAGGCGGAGCTTGCAGTGAGCCGAGATGGCACCACTGCACTCCAGCCTGGGGGACCGAGCGAGACTCCGTCTCAAAAAAAAAAAAAAAAAAAAGAAACTGCTTATACATAAAGATCATCTTTAACAGATCATCTGGCATATGGCTGATATTTTTTTGAAAAATTTTCTAAACTGATAAATTTATAATTGTATGTATGACAGAGCAAATCTCTGGGGGGGGAAGAAAGTCCCCTGAAAAAGAGAAAGAAAAACTCATTCATAACAGTCCACCTTTACACTGATGTGTGTTCCTGCTGATGTAACACGGTGCTCCACGCATCATCATGCTGGTTAAGAATGCTGGTAGGAGCCTGTGTGGGTTTAGGGGTATGCTATGAGGATTCCTCCTGCTTGTTTGGTAGTAAAGATGGAGTCAGATTCCAATCCACAGCTTGGTGGACTGGACTAGGGATGGAAGAAATCAAGTCCGTAGCAGCAGCCTGTGGTCTGGAGGCTCGCTGCAGAATTGAAAACGGTTTCAGAACAACATCATATTTTGGTGCCACACGCCACATTTCTAAGCATTATGTCGTGTAGGAATTGAATTAGCATTCCTCAGTGCTTAATTTTCATTGTGACAGGTCTGTTTGCTCACTGATGCTTTTAATTTATTACCTTGCTATTGCAAAATGTATCACTCAAAGTTGTTATCTTGTTACTATCAGTAAAGGGAGGGAAAAATCCACATGGCAGGACATGGGACTCATTTCTGAAATGATTGGCAGACTGTGTCTGCCTTTTCCTTTATGCCATTCATTTTCCCTCATGATTTCTTTACCCCCCTCTTTCCTTTAATTTTTAATTTTTCTTCTTCTGTACTTTTCTTTTCTCTAACTCTTGTCTTTCTTCACCTTCAGACTTCACCTCACTTTCTGCTTATTTTAATGCTTTTTTTTCTTTATATAATCATTTCCCTCCCACTCTTTCCTATTCTTATTCTTTGAGTCTCAACATTCTCTCTCATTCCTCTTCCAGAACTCACTCTCAGCTCCCTCCTACCTACTTACTTTCTTTGGTTTATTCACATTTTCTTCTTTGACTATAACATTTCCTAAATTTAATGCTCCTTGTTTTTAATTCTGTCTTGAATTGTAAGAAAAAGAGTCTGGTTTTAAGCTTATAGGCAATAACCTAAGATGCTATTAGGAACAGGGGATACTTTTCCAAATCTCCTTGTCTAGGGTTATAGAATCACTTCAATGATTTGGATAAAAGGTAGTATATGAATCCAAAATACTTGTCACGTTTGTATTATTAGTACTGCTAATAAGAATTCTATTTAATGATGAGTTACACCGACCTTGCAGGTCTTCCAACTTGGTTATGTATTATTTCAAGCATATATAATAGTTTCTACTCAGGGGAGGCAGCACAATATTGTGGAAAAAACATAGACTTCTGAATTAAACAGGTGTGAATTTGTATCTAGGCTCTGCTCCTAATTGGCACTGTAATGACGGTGAAGTATTGCCATCATTTATTGATTTATTTTTTTGTTAGGAAGCATCTCAAAGCTCACAAAAAAATATATATGAGAACAACTACGTACCCATCCTTTCTCTGTGTCAAATCTTATTTTACCATATTAATTTCAGATCTCTTTCTTTTGTTGAGGATTAACATATCACATTAATTACTAAACTGCTCTGATTTAGAGTTTCTTCAATTCTGAAATGGGTGTAGTCATACTTATATTCCAGAGTCATGAGAATTAAACAGTATGCCAAATCTAAAGTGCTGAAAAACAGTTTCTTCCTTTCTTATGTAAGGAATCATGAAAACATCATTTTAGTGGCATTTTAGACCTCTTATGAATTTTTTAAAAAGATAGAGAACATACTTTTCCTGACTATAGGCAGTCCCTAACCTTGACTTTGTAATTATAAAAATAGAGGTGATTTTCCTAGCACTGACTTCGGAACATACATCAAAATTTAATATTCCCTGAAACCAAGTTTTAAAAAAATCTTAAAATTTGACAAACATTTGAATTTTCAGGAACAAACAAGTTCCCCATAAATGCATTTTGAAAATAATATTTTCTAGTCACTTGAGTATTTGACTGTAAAAAATGAAAAAGGTACTTTTCCTGGCACATGAGCGCCTAAGAGTTGAAACCCAGAGTGAGTTTTCCAGATGCTAAGATGAGAAGTGTTTTCTTTGGTAGCTGATTCTGCAGCAGTAGCAGCTGCCCTAAAATAAGCTGTTGTTCAGGCCAATGAGGAAAGTATGTCCCAGATGGGGAAAGGGTAGCACACTGGGAGGCATGACTGCTAGAAAACCTAGGGTAACAGCTGCCGAGACAATGCCATGGCCATCTGAACCTCGCTGAGCAGCACAGGCTCAGCATTCATTCATATTTATTAAGTGCCTACTAAGTGCCAGGCACGATTCATGCCCTTGGGATATAGAAGTAAAACAACAACAACAAAAAAACCCTTTTGTCATGGAGCTTACATTCAAGGAGTGGTGTTGAGGACAAAGAGACCACAAACAAAAGAAAGAAGTTAATTATGATAAGTTAGAAGGCAGTAAGTGCTATGGAGAAAAATGAAGAAAGGGCAGCGGTTAGGAAGTGCTAGGTGGTGGCATGGTTTACAAGAACTGTGGATTAATTTGTTTGTTCATTCATTGGCCAAGAAACATTTGTGGAGCAAACATTTCATTTGGTCAGTGTAGTAACACACGGTCCAGGATCTGAAGATACTTCCGGTCTGGTGGGGAAGTCGGAAGTATGGCAGGGCATGATCAAGGTATGCCATGGGAAGACAGGAGAGAGGGCACAGCAACTCTTTCAGGGTCAGGGAAGGATGTCTTGGAAGAGGAGACCATGTTGAGTGATGATAAGGAACAGGATTGCAAGTTGGGAATGAGTGAGGCAAGTCATGCTCAAGGCCTGGCTTCTGCTTGGCCAGCTGGTTGGGGGCGATTCTGTTGCTCAGAGTCAGAGTCAGGGAATGCAGAGGAGCACAGTGGTTTGGGGGATGGCGATCAGCTCTATTGGATGCCTGTGGGTGTCTAGAAGCAGTCAGATAGATGGGCTCACGGCAGAGAGGTCTGGCCTGGAGAAGCCTCATGGCACAGTCGGAGATGCCCTGTCATGTTATCCAGAGTGTACTGGGTCTTAAGCAGCCCCATTTCCAAGCAGAATGATCTTAGAAGCAAATAGCAGAAAGAGTCTCACAGGCTGCCTGCGGCTCTCTCTCACATGGGATAGCTACAGATCTTCCTATCTCTGCTACTTGTTCCCTTCCTGAGGGCTTACACTCCAGGCTTTAGGATTCATTTTGGGGGAAATTAAGGAGCCCTTATTTAAGAGTTCAGGCAGATTGGCCTTGTTGCCACTTACACTCAGTACCTCAGCACTGAATCAGGTAACTGATGGTCTGTCTTGGTTATAGAATTTAGACCAATACAACATCTAATAACTGGGCCTTTATTATCTTGAGTTCTAAATCCTGGCCTGACAAGCTACCCTAAACTCTTACTCCTTTGAGACTGGTTTTCCATTCTGACCTTGATAGTTCAGTTCCATTTGTTTATGAGCACTTGCTAAGTCCCAGGCAATGAAGGTAACATGCCAGGTGCTGAGATTCAAAAATGAATAAAATATATTCCCTGCCTATATGGAACATATGTGTTTAGTAGGAGAGTTGGTCATATAAGCCTGCAATGATAGTTCTGTATGATTTGATTCAATAATAGCAGAAAGTTCAATGTCCAGAGGAAGCACAGTTCTGCCCAGGGACAGGGGTACCAAAACCCAATTGTGGCCTCAAAGTCATCTGCTACCTGCTGCAAGATGTCACTGCTGGTGGCTGCTGATGTGCCTACCACTCTTCTCCACTCTGCTTTCATGGGATTGGCCCATCAGTGGCTTTAAGTGTCTTATTGGAGTTTAGATACTGTGTTTTGCCAGTTGCCTTCACTGCTTTTCTCTGCTAAATATTGAACTGTGTCATCTGCCTCCTTGCATCTCTCTGTTCTTCTGTCCCACTTCAACTTCATCTGTAACATACCAGTTTTCTAGTCTAGTAGACTCTGTAGTGATAGCCCTGCTTTCATTCCTGATTATTGATAATTTGATTCTTCTCTCTTTTTTCCCTGATTAGCCTGGCTAGAGATTTATCAATTTTATTCATCTTCTCAAAGAACCACGTTTTGATTTCTATCTATTTTTCTTTACTGTTGTTCCATTCTCTACTTTATCATTTCAACTCTATTCTTTATCATCTTCTTTATTCATCTTACTTAGGGTTGAATTTGCTCTTCCTTTTCCAGTTTAGGGTGGAAGCTGAGGTCATTCTGAACATGGAAAATTAACATCCATGAATGTTGAAAGTCTTGAATCTGTATCAGAATTTGAATCTAGTTTCCCGGAGTCTCGGTGCAGTGCTCCTTTTATTAAAGCTCCTGATATGGCCATGTATTTGAAAGGAATGGTGAGGAATCTGCATTTTTGATAAGCACAGTATAGTGGTTTAAAAACCTGTCTGCAAATTCTTTGACTTAAAAGACTAGGTTAAAAGAGGTGTCACAGCTTCTGATCGACTCTCTTGGGATGAGCCACCATGTTGTAAGGAAGCCCAGGCAACATGGAGAGGCTTGGTGTTGTGGATCTAGCCCCAGCTGAGGTCTCAGCTGACAGCCAATTTCATCCGTCCAAGCTGAATCAGTGAACCTTCAGATAGTCCCAGCTTCCAGTCTAAATTGCTCTGAGTAAAGCAGAGATGAGCTGTTCCTGCCGAGTTCTGCCCAAACTGCATTTAAGACACCAAGTTTTAGAGTGGGCTTTGATGTAGCAGTAGATAATCAGAATACATAATAAACAAATTTATTGAATATGCTAAAAGTTGTTTATAAAATATTTGAAATCTTGATTTTTTTTTTAT